TTTCTTGACCTTCTGCCAGAGCAATTCATATAACTCTCAGGTATTTATTTTCATTACATGATTGCCCTTGCTGTACTTGAAAGTGGAATCCATGCAATAAACGACATAGAACTTTTGTCATGTACATACTAAATGACAGTCAGCTAAAATGAATATTAGAATTTTGCTTTGATCTTCCTCTACCAATCCTCCCACTTTGCTCTTGGATAACCTACCGTAGTTGACAACATAAGTGGTGTATAGGACCATACAGTGTTCAGTGTTCCTGTGCCATTCTTAGGCTGGTGACAGTAGCTTTCCTGCTTTTATCTAGACAGTGACGCTAGCGCCCTCTGTGAATCTGATACATCGCGTGTAATTGAGGCTATCATAAACTACTTGACTGAGTTACGCAATAGTATTAAGGAAGCCAATGAAGGTAAATTGAGACTGACTCAGGGGTACCCAACTACCTGCCTGTTACAGTAGAATGATCCTAGTAAACCAACGCAACTCCGTATTGTTAAAAGCTTTTTCATAATCTTTAGATTATGCCATCATCACAGTAGGTATTGTCTACGTCGTTCACTGTATTCTCCATGTAACAACTGCGAAGATGGGATTGTGTGAGTGATACAAGGTCTTTAAACCACTTGAATCAAACTTGCTCTATCTGCAAATTAGCCATAGCCCATTTCCCCTTAAAATGGATGAAATCAGGTTTCTGGGTATATAGATGCATCTTTTATAGGCTGACTTTTCACCCCTTCCCATTAACCATGTGCTTTACACTACACTAAACCCTACATTAGCAAATAACAGATGTTTCTAATAAGAGACATGAAATTCTCGTGGGTAGATAATAAACATGAGTCTGGACTAATAACTAGAGGTGAGATTTGTCATAAATATGTTCAGCCAATCAGAATGTCAGATTGTGGTTGAGTTAACAGTAATATTTCAGTACTAACTGTTGAAGGAAGGATGTTCAATGGATACTGGTAGATTGTGCAGTCAGCTGTAATTTTATACAACATAACTGAAATGAAACTAAATGACTTGTCATACAGGGCATAAGGTATTTCAGTTTGGTACATTCCATGTTTGGAATACAGTGTTACTTGCACTATGTGAATACGGTATATCAAATATGATTTGTAAAGAACACATACAAATGTGGAGTGTTGTCTCTTGACCTTAGCACCTGTAGTCCAAAGCTTCAGTATCTATAATCTGGCGTTTTTCTCACCAGTGACTCATGTAGTGTAACTGGGTTATCTTGAACCAGGGTGAAAGTTTCACACTTTCACGTTCTATGTTCTTGATAGGGTGCTAACTGCTGCTAAATTTGGACAACTGAGCCCTCACTTTGTCTGTAATCTTTGTAAATGGAAAACTGATTTAGTTTTCACAATAAAAATCATTCTGAATTGTAGATACCAAGTTTGGGTTGCTGGGATTACAAAATTCTAACGTAATCTTTACTTCTTTGTGATTTAAGGTTGAATCTGTTGTGTTTCCTACAGTTGAAATGTGTATTCTTTGATGATGTTTGTTTTGTTTTTTGTTTGTCTAAATAGAGACTATATCACAGGACAGTTCTTGTATCTGGAATTCATGAATGCGTCTCATCATTTCCCTTGGCAACCATGGTCGTGATACATCTTATTTAAACATAGGAAATTCTGCAAGTTTGCGCTTTTGAACTGATGGACAAAGTAAACACATAAGCACTATTGATGGTAACATTAGAAGTGAGTTTTCATACTGACCAACACTATCATGTATGCTGCAGTATCAGAATAAAGTAAACGTTGAGTAGAACTGGTATGTGATGGAAATAAGTAAGTAGAAGTCAAACAGTAGAAAGGCCTTGGAAATTTTGTTTAAGCCATTACATACTTGAATAAAAAAGGTCCTTACAGATTCAAAGCTCCTGCTGACCTCTGCCTCCTAATGGATAATTTCATTAGTGTTGTCTACATGGCGTGAACTGTCCAGGGGGTGAAGACATGTTGTGTTGCCAGTGTTCTATGCTGGAACAACCTGCTGGAGGACAATTTGATAAGTCACTGAACCTGCTCTATAGATTGAATATAAACCTTAATTCTTTTGTAAGTCCCCATGAGAAAGTAAGCTGGGACTATCAAGACCTCGGTGGACACAGACAACCCTTTTCATATTGGATGTCATTAAAGCATATGAATTATGGGCTGTGAAATGAAATCTGTAATGAGCCATGGTGTATGTGACAGATGACAAGGGAACCTTTTTCTCCAGGGACCTCTGTAAGGGATTACCTGTGACCTATGCTTGTTGATAGAGGATCCAATTGCTCATGTAACACTTCAAGTTTTATGTGTGAATGTTGTTAATGATGTGTTTCTGCTGCTATGAGCAGTTGTCTTATCCCTTGTCCAACATGAGGCTTCGTCAACACATCATTAAGGACTTAATTGACGTAATGTTTTGATCAAATGTAAACATCTGTCGGATACAGGATATTATCATGTTTCTGTAAAATAAACATTACAGAAACCAGTCTGATATATTTATAACCTAAAGTCGTGGGGTTAAGCTAGAACCTGAGTCCTGAAAGGTTTGTAGTCAGCTGATATTTTATCACCCGCAGTTTCTTATAATTGTGCCTGGGTGTTGATTTGGTAAATCTAAAAGCAGACTTTCAATCCTCGTATGTCATGACCTGAATTTTGATAAAGTTTACACAATGACGCCTCAGAGCTGGTCAAGCGAGTTGGATGTATGTAGCCATGGCCTCAATTTCTTTATCAAGAGATAACACCTTTTATTTTGGTTTAGAATCAGTCTCATGCCCCAGTGACTTTATTGAGCCTGCTGTGGGAGGAAAATCATATGTCCCTCATGTCTATGGCTAGTTGCAAGCGTCTGGTTTAATATTAAAGATGGTCTATGGTCTGGAACAGGCTTGTTTTTTTAGGCTGAGCCCTGTAGGCTGTAGTGTGAAATAGTAATATGAGTGACATCTCCAATATAAAGCCTAGAGCTTTATGCATGGTCGGCGAATGTGTGCTCTTTTCACAGAGGGAGCATGCTGGTATCATTGAGTCTTGGTGTATGAGAGAAGCAGCCAATATTATCAGGTCTTGTTGTATAGGAGTTAAAGCTATCACTGTGAATGTTTCCCTGCATCTAGATTCCATGGTACAAGGAAAAAAATGATTCTTCAGCTTGAACAGTGGACTGGAAACATGCAATAGCATTGATCAGGACAATCTGCTGTGCCAGATTTCCAGGGGATGCTGGAGTGACTGATTATCAGTTGTCTTGTAAAGTAATGAGCTTAGACGTGTAAACACTCTGGCATTTTCTGTTGGTTGTAAGAAATTGTATGTAGTATTGGATCAGATGTTTTTAGGCATCTTCTTCAGCCAAAGAATCACAACATTGAATTTATAAAAAAGTGGAAAATGGTTAATTGACAAACAGGTTAGCAACAAAAGCAAAGAGTTTCATAACTATCAGCAAGAAAACTTCCCCTTTTAGTCAATACCACCATGACTGACTAACCACTGGGCCTGAATCAATGTGTCCACAGATTTGGATTATGCAGATATAATTTGTTTTCACACATATTCAAGCTTTTGTGTGATATTGCAAAGCCTATCAGTCAGTCTGACTGCCAATATTGAATATTTCCTTCCCAGGAGGAGCTGTTCACTGACATGTGCATAGATTAGTCAATAGATCTGTTTGTGAATAAGAGATAACTGACTCTACAGGTGTTGTTAAGGACTGAGTTACAGTGATTATTGGAAGTGTAGTATGTCCATCTCCATGGATATGACCAAGGTTTATCCTGACGTCTGCTCAGCCATGGGAGGGAAACTCACCATGATCTGGATGTGATGGAAATGTACCTAGCATGTTAGGAGGAAGAAGTGGAATTTGTGCGGTGTTGCTGCTGGGATTTGAGTGTTTAGGGGAGTCTCAACTTGTTCTAAAGTTGTGGAATGATCATCCTGTCACTCCAGTACTGGTGGATCCTGAGATTCTGGACAGTGAACTACAGAGACATTGAAACAGCAAGCAACAGGTTCTCTGTACTCTACTGAAATTGATCAACTTGAAAGAAATGTTCCGTTGAACATTGATCATGTGACCGTATATAATAATCAAATGAGGTCAAGTATACAGGGTTATTGATTTGTGTCAGTTCAGTGGATTTGAGAGCTTAACATACAATTCATGTTGAAATGTTCAGGAATTCTACTTGAATTATGCCAAAGTGTGCACCTACCAAGAGCTGTGCTTTATCAGTGGCAAAGTACTTCTGTGGTTGTATTTTTTTCTATTCGTTTCCCAAATCTTTACTTTAGCCTATGTCCTTTGTGTTAATGAATATTTAAAGCTTAAATGGCAGCCTTATCAAGACTGTGACAAAGTAAGGTGGTATTTTGTTCCAGTAAACTGAAAGGCTCACTGCGTCACGATATGTTGTTGAGGTGTGAAATATTATAATTTATTTGCTGGGAATTGTAAGGAATATTGACCCAGATTTTGGATTGAAAGAAATGTGGACCAATATTTATCCAGGACAAACCTCCAAACTTAAACAGTTTCTTGACTTGTCGCAGATGAATGACACCCCAATGTTTGATCACATCCAAAAATATTTTTCATTAACAAAGTTTGGGATCAGATGTCTGAGAAATAGTTCACTTAGTTATATAGATAGTCATCCACAAACAGCAATATCTAAATCATGCGAAACTGATAAGGATATAATTAATAACTGCAGCTTTAACTGAGTAGACATACAATGCTGCTTTGTGAACTGTCAGTAATAACTAACCTCAGGCCCAATTGATTACAGCATTTACACAATACTCTCAGATGTATATATGATCATTGTCTAGAATCTACCAGTAAAATATCCTATGCAAATACACTCATGTGAGAGCCTTGTAACATGTGGTAGCAGTTGACAGTCTGCCCACGACACCAGTTCTCACTGTACAGCTGTTTACTGGGACCTCTGTTCCGGCCAGAGGTGTGTAGCCTACTGCCCAGCTGACGTGTTGACCAGGAAGCATATAGTCCTACCTGGAATCTACCCTCATCCGCTACTGGCAACACACTGTATGTACCCATGGATCAGGTGGGTAGTGTGCTCTGTGCCTGAGTGGGACGTGTGCTGTGTTCACTGGGGCCTGATACCGGGACAGTGTAGGCAGCTGATACCTGTTTCGTCGTCTGCTACTGGGATACGATTCACTGGATACCTCCAGCCATCAGCTTTTGTATTGTACGTCAGATACTTCCATTGATGTGTAATGGCAGACGTGGATTTAAGTTCTTGTGTAATTTGTATGTAACTGCCAGAATGACCAGGTAATACTGACTGGACAAATGTGTTTTAGTTTACAGAGGAGCTAGGTGTCTGTATAACCTACCATTTGTTATATGATTACGGTATACAGGACAAAGTGTTGTGTTGACACGATTGATATATACCGATAGTGTCTCTGTTGTGTATGCATGTCATGTGTTGTTGCAGACGTGCATATATTCACTCATCCTGAGATATATCTGGCTACCTACCACATATGTGGATACTGTTTCTATCAACGAAAACTACCTCAAAACGATTCAGGATGCAGTTGACGTCGATAGGGATGTCAATACCGTGTTATTTTTCAACAACAATCGGTGAACATACAGTCCACCAGTAAAGATCGGAAGCCTGTGGTTCATGTTCAAGGAGTGGACCTCAAAAATAAATACTGCTTTGATAAGATTACCTTGCCCTTGAGAGCTGACTTTTCACAAATTGTTTGTGTAGAATCAACCGTGCTAGGTTGGTTTTGAGATTTGAAAGCAAGCGGATCATATCTTATCTAACGCTTTGACTGGAGTACTTCTGGCGTAGCTAACCTGGAAATTTGGTGTTTTTCGCAAAATAGGATCAGTGAAGTGACAGTGAGTCCTGTAACCTGTCGGATATCAATTTAATTGACAATCATATCATAAAATGGAGTGACAGTTATGGTGTGGAGTTTATGAGAGAGAGTACTACTGAGGAAACAGTGTCAATCGGAGGTTGCCTGGACTCAGCCTTCCCCTTTGTGTCCACTGTGGCTGGAATACATTTCTGATGGACAGGTCTAGATTGCACGTCATATGAAAAGAACAGGTAATGTTTTACCAGGAAAGTCAGACATGTAATTGTTAGAGGAAAACTAAATATTCAAATGTGTATTTGTGCTATGGGAAAAAACCATGTGGTAAAGATATGCTTGTGTTGTTGATAAGACGGGAAGCATGTAGGTTATTCGTTCAAAGTTTAGAGGCAGATAGTAAAACATGACATATTTCATGGTATGTTATGATGGACTTCACAACTTAATGAAATAAGTTTTTTTGCTGTCAAGCTGCATTGTATTGATGTTTACAACATCAAGCTGTAACTCAGTTCAATATTTGCCATTCAAAATTTCAATAGCATGACAGATTAATTGTCACTTGAGAGTTCAAAAGTCACCATTCGTAGTATGAGCATATGGTACTATCCAAGGTTATAGCATAGCAATGATATACAATACCTGCTCTACGTCAACCTATTGCATGAAAACGTAAACATATCACACCTTCCTTTCATACAACTTGTTCCCTTTTGCTGATATATGTACATATAAATTCAGCCTTGTCTGTTTTGAATACACATGTATAATAAATATAGTTCTGGTGAATATCGGTAAGCGCTAGTTTTAGGGTGTAACACATAACCTCTAAATGATCATGTGGTTCTGCAATCTCATTGTAACGAATGTCCCAGTCTTCTGCTTCAGTTCCTGTGAATGAGAATACATAATCACTGCTTGTCTTATCTCATCAGGGGTGCATGATCTGACAAAAAAGACCCGGTTTTAGATCCCACCTCAACTTACTGTCATGAGCCTTTGACAAACAGAGCAGCATTTGCTGGACATGGAAACAGAAGATATTATAACTGTGACTTTACATCTTCAGGAACACCCATTACAAACTTGACTAACAGTGGATTATACTAAAGTGGTAGCCCAAGTGTAGGAATCTGTGGTTTGTTCTCCACCTTGAAGGAGTCACATGTGGATGAAGTGGTCAGTGCCAAATGAGGGAATTGGCTCCCTGATAGAGATAACTTTCTGCTTGACCGTTCTGACCTTGCCAATTGGATGCCGACTGGTAAAGCTAATCACTGTCTCAAGCCACAATTAAACTGTACACACTACTGGATAGATTGGGATGTTTGGACATGATGTGAAAACTGGGATATCAACTCCATTGCTTGATGTTGGATAAAGCATACAAATGATATCGTAAGGATCGTTAGTGTTGCCACCGTTTGTAAATATTGTGACTTATCAACTGGCTATATGTCTGGAATATTTCCCATGCGTGAGATCAGTAAGCATGTAGAGGACCTGGATGTGCTGCCACACCCCCTGTCTTACAGTAAGTTTGGGGGGATGTACCACCGCCCGTGGTCATCTGTGGTGGAGCTACCAGTCACTGATACCCACAACTTCAGCTGCAACGTCCTGCACAGCATTGGGGACTACTACCAGCCCAGCAGAGATTCCGGGTCCCTGACATCCTTCTACTCGGAGGACTCGGAGGAGGTCACTATCTCCAATGTGTTCGAGGTAGGAGTCCATGGGACACAATGTCCACTTCAGGTTTAGAAATCATGTAACATCCCCACCCATCTCTCTTTCACTCACTCTTTCTTTGGCCGTCTGTACTCTGTACTTTGCTCTGTCCATCTCTTTACTTACTGTTTCGAAAACCTTAAGTATCTTTGTAAGACTTGGATGAAAAATATGTACATGAACATCAGTGACATTTTGTATGTAAGTGGACATTGAAAGTGTGTGTTCAGCTTTGAAAATAGCGGAACTAATACTTGAATTGAGTCTGAAATGGGTTTGAAAGAATCTGGAATTTAGGATATGAGTGAAAGGAACATTATATAGGTTAAAAAAATCTAGGTGTGTTTGCATTATTCACAAGCATCCTTATGTGTATGTACAATATTCAGACACTGTCAACAGCCTTTAGCCACAGGCATGTCAATATTAGTAGCTATTCATAAAGTCTCTGACAAAGTGTTACAAGTTTAGTGTGATAATGAGCTTAGTCACCAAAATTTCGATTTGCCATAAATTTATAACTATGCCATATCACACATATATAACTGGCTTCTATTTACCTTTCCACCTGACAGTTTATTCAATCTGTGACATTTTGCGCAGTTTACTGTGACATATATATTTGGCCATTACACTCGTATCTGTTGTTGCCATCAACTACTATCACGAACACATGGCTGTTGGGAATACAGGTTAAAAAAGTCTGCAGGATGAAATCAGCATCAGGTAATGCATGACAGGAGTAATGTACATCGTGTCATGCCAGCAGTGTAGGTATATACATCGTATATCACCAGGAGCCAGCTCTGGTCCAGCAGTGACAGGACAGATGGTTATTGGTGTTCACAGGTGTTCACTCTTGCACTGTAGTTTCATAGCATACCTGGCAGAGAATGCAAAGAACTCACTAGCTGCAAACAACCTCTAGGTACTAGTCTGTCATGTGAGTACACCTGTATCGAAACTCAGAAGGTTTAAGTATGATTATTTGTTTACAAGAACAAGTATAAGTTTTGTTTTGGAATCCTGTCATCGGCATGTGACTATGTCACATGACCAAGATGGAGGTTGAGGTTTGGAAGTGATGCGAAAGAATGTGAAAGCAAAAAAGCAATGTATTTGTTTGCTCATTTACTTGTGGGAATTGTATTTCAAGTTACAGGTTACAGGTTTAGTTATCAACACCTCGCCTTTGAAATGATCTCTCTTTTGTTAAATTACAGAAAGGATTTCAGTGAACCAATTTATTTCCTGGTAGTGAAGAAAATGTAGACTCTCCAAACTATAACAAATCTGGGCATTTGTTTAATATTTTCAATTCAGGATGTGTTTTAGAGACTAAGTCTTGTTAAGTGGTGATATGGATGAGTATTAATGTTGGACAATGTGCAGAAGTTGTGAACATTTAGAGTCTGATCTAAATGTTGTCCATCATGTCAGCTGAACATTCAGATCAATACATGGCCGACTTTCTAGCCTGTCATATGTAATTACTGTCAGAAATCAACAGCTTGGACAACAGTGATGTCGGGACACCCTGAGGTGTTCTGATGAAGGAAACATCAAGATATGTCATGTAATTGTTCAAACACTAGGTCACAGGAAATACTACTTCAGTACAACCATGAAATCATGACATAAAATGAGATATTTTTTATATTTTTCCAAAAAATATAACTGTTTCCTGCTTGAGTGACAGTGTGACCTCATTAATTAGGGCAACGGAGTACATCATCTGAACTGTCACAAAAGATCTTTGCAGTTTAATTTGAAAATAAATGTTGCATTCCACACCTATAGGGAGTGAGCCTGTTACAGGGTGTGAAGTTTGGCCCAGGTAAACAATCTCCTTGTCGAAGCCCATTCATTGGATGTTCAAGAGACAGACATTGGAGATTTCTTGTCTTTAATTGCTCCAGAATTGTCATTTTTATTCACAATGTGTGAAGCAGACTGAAAAACTTGGATATCTTCTTATCATAGCCAGTTGTTAGATACACAAGATGAGAACCTCCGGTGGACAAGAGTTCTATCTACTGTTGTAAGTGGTCATGTCTGTGTCCCATGTTTTCCTTGAGTCGGCTGGGGTATGCTTCATGGGACTATTCTGCCCATTCCCTTCCCCATGGGATTGATTCTGTTGTTTATGTGCTTGTCATGTGAGTGTACATTGTGTGACCCGAGTTTATCTATTTACATACTAAACAGTTAGTCCATCTGGTCTCAGAATGCAGCCATGGCTTGAATAGATGTAAGGAAGAATCACCCCATCTCAAGGAGGTGCAGATGAAGCATTATATGTCCTCTTGGTGACTGTACATGTGCTGTTCACTTGCAGCAGCAGTCCTCTAGTCACAGCACCTGAACCATATTCAGTTCCCTTCCTCTCAGCCCTGCCTGTAATGCTGAAGTCCTAAGTTATGAAGGTCTGGATTGTTCTCATCTGAATCTCTCATCTCACTTGGGTTCTTTTTCGTTTAAATGGAGTAATTTGTTTCTATCGAAAATACATTTCCATATATTAGTGTTGGTCAACTGCTCCTTGTGTTGGAGATGTTACTGTGACCTTATTGTTCTCATTCAGAAACATCCACACCTGTCAACTTTATACCATGTTACAGGTTTTATGTTGCGGTTCCAACCACTTTTACAACATGTTATAAATGTCCGGGTTATCACCTGACCACATGCATCTTTGATCTGTGTCACACCTGAGGGTTCAGTGTCGTCAATAAGCATGTGATGATTGATTTCTGGATAGGCGTGGAAGTTGCGATAAGATGGGTAGATAAGAGATGACGCTGTTTGCGCTCCGCCCGTGTCTGTTGATGTAATGGTTGTGTTATATCTGTGGAGGCCAGAGGAGGTGTCAGTCACCCCAGTAGTAGACAATGATGTATCGGATATAGACATGATAATGTGAGGCACTCATCTATGTATTGATATTAGGTCACAGGACAGTCACTGGAATAGATTGAATCTATATGACAAAATCTATATCCTAACAGAAATATTTACATTGCTGAAACACAACACTCAAGTTGAGTGCAATTTGAAATGCTGTGGACTATTTTTCCTTTTGTAATAAATATTTGTAGAGGTTAGAAAATATTTTATAAATTCAAATCTCAAAACTTGTAGTTAAAGTACATTGGAAACAGAAGAAAGTTCTGAATATTCTGTTAAGTTGATTCAGAGTTGCGGGGATCGGTAAGTCAGTATGACAAGTATGTGATACTGTATGGAGGGCAGAGCTTAACTACTGTAGTGGATGGACATACATGTGTAGAGAATGTTATTGCCACCTTTAATTGTATTGCACATCATAAACTGGACAATGGACTGCTCCTACTGACACTACTTACATGAGTTGATGAGGGTTGGACTGGGGACATGGTGTGCTGGGAGATCTGTAGGTACCAGATCATGTACCTAGTGTCCAGTTCTGTTTTACCTCAGGGAGTGCTGATTAATATAATCATGATATCATCAAATCTTGGATTATTGAACACTTAAAAATGTATAAAGATACTGCAGAAAACATCATGCAACAGATAGATAGTGGTTTTGGAATATATTTGAAGTCAGGGTTGCAAGTTTGATTCATCATATAATTATTGATTTGATGGAAAGTGACATGGTAGATGCAAGTAGGTAGTATATGTTTGTGTGCTTGCATGTAATACCTGGTGTTTGTATGTTTAGCTATAAGTGTTAAAAAAGGTAGATATATCAATATTTTTATCAGAAAATTCAACGTCTGGTCTATGGAGCTATGACAATCACACATTTGTTAAAGAGGCCATGCAAAATATTTTGCAAATACTGTATTTGCAACAAGGTGATGACCAATCTAAACCTTAGACACATTTGATTTTATTTTGGTTCAATCCTTTACTAAAATTGACCATTCTTCGCTTGTGGCGTCATTTATCACTGATGATTGGAATCTTGACCTAGTGATCTAGTGATCTGTACTATTCAGGGCAATGGTGTGTTTCCTTCAGTGGACATGTGTGGCCAGTGGTCAGTGAGATTACTCCCCACCTTCTTCCTCCTGATCCAGATGTCACCGCCTCCTCCCCTGCCTCACTGACCTCTCCGCCCTCACCTACCCAGACATGACGATGTCTTCACTGCCTTGTCCTGCTCAGTATCAGGCTGCTGCATATGCTGTGGTCTCTCTTCTCATTACAAACTAGGAATATCAGCTGCATTAAGCATAACAAGTTTTATCTGCCCTATATCGGAAGTATACACAATAGCAGTCCTAAGTTATTAGTTTTAACATATATATTTCAGTGAGTATCAAGGAACAGAATCTCTAGTTTGGTTGCTGCTGCAAACCTAGTCATTGAACGTGATTGGGAGTTTCACTGAAATCACTTGTATGGTGAACAGTCTCAATATTGCAAGCTAACATGTTCCCCCAAAGTGATTGATGTAACTATGTATTCACACGCTTGAATATTTGATCCAGATTTTATATTCATTGGAACTGTCGCTACAGCTGGAAGTTCATTCATGAATGTTTGGACCGATAACTATCTTTATACACATAAAAGGACATACTGTATGGTTATATGTTATGGTTTCATGAAAGCAAGTAGTTTTGATGGTTGTCAAACCTGAAAGAATCATATGTGGGTCATGACGCTGTCTGTGACCCACATCCACTGCTTCCACCCGTCCCAGCCATACACCAGCACACTCGGAATGGTTTTTAAATAGCCACCAATTCATATGGACTTGCAGCCAGTAACAAAAGTAATACATTCATTCAGAGTAAATCATCAAATCCATTTCTTCCCATGAATGATAATCGATGAATTCGCTCAATCTTTCTTTAATCAAGGCCAAGAATCATTTACATTCACGTATGATAATTGTTTATTGATGTGTTTATGAATGGCATGAGTCATTATAAGGTTCCAGTACTTTCTGCAGAGATGTTTGTATGTACTGGTTTGACTTTTGTCACATACTAAACAGGG